TTAGTCTTAAGGCTGCTTCCTGTTAAAAGGAAGTTTTTCCTTCTCCCTGTTCCCAAGGGCTTGCTCACACGGGTCGTCTGATTGTTGGGGTTTGCTCTCTAACATTGTAGAGTCTGTACCTTACAATATAAAGCCCTTTGAGCTGACTGTTCTTTGATTTTTTGCTATATAAATGCAACTGTATTGATGTGAATTGAAATTAATTGATGTTTTAAGAAAGTGAAACAGGCTGTTGACTTCATTTCGCTTCTTCTTTCTGTCTAGGGGAAACAGTGGCATCAGCACCCCACTCTATCCAAAAGCTACCGCTCACACAAAGAGGGAACTGATGGTACCGCAGGCTCCTCAGCAACTACTTAGTCTTCAAAAATCTAGGAACTATGGCAACTTAGTGTTTGGATGCTGCTAACAACAGCTAAAGACAAAAGGGGAACATGAACATGACCATAAATGTGGACTACAAAGTCATTGCTGACAATAACTTCAGTGCACATCCAAATGACACACAGGCAGTCGCCTCCGATTGTCCGGAGGCAGCTTCGGATAATTATTATTTTATCAGCCTCATCCTCTCCAGCCTCTACACCATATTCCTGTTTCCTGTCGGTCTTGTTGGGAATATCCTTATTATAGTGGTAAACCTTAACCACAGGGGCCGCATGACACCTCCAGATTGCTACTTCGTGAATTTGGCCATGGCTGACCTCTTTCTGGTAGCTGACTCTCTGATTGAGGTGTTCAATCTTAAGAAGGGCTACTACGACAAGGCCGGCCTCTGCACTTTCATGAACCTCTTCCAACAGGCCAACATGTACAGCAGCGTCTTCTTTCTGACCTGGATGAGCCTCGACCGCTTCGTCGCGCTGACCAACTCCATGGGTCGCAGCATACCACACGCACGGCTCACCTGCTGCCTCATCTGGACGTCTTCGTCCCTGCTCACCTTGCTGCCTTTCGCTGTAGCTCAAGTGCAACACGCCGGAGAGCTTCATTTCTGCTTCGCCAACGTGACTCAGATTCAGTGGCTGGAGGTGATGCTGGGATTCTTGCTGCCCTTCTGCATCCTGGGGGTGTGCTACTGGAGAATAGCACGGGTGCTCAAATGCAGCCTCTGGGAACTAACCAGCCCCCTGCAGAGGCCTCGCAGGCAGAAAGCCCTGCGACTCATCTCAGCCGCTGTGGTCGTCTTCTTCCTCTGCTGGCTGCCAGAGAACGTGTTTATAAGTGTGCACCTCGTGAGGGGCGACACGAACGGGGGCACGCTGTGGCAGGATTACCCCTTGACAGGTCACGCCGTCAGGCTGGCGGCTTTCTCCAACAGCTGCCTGAATCCTCTCATCTACGGCTTCCTCGGGGAGGCCTTTAGGGAAAAGTTGAGGCTTTTTTTCCAGGATAAAAGCCGATGGTCCAAGCTGAACAGGACCCCCTCGAGAAAACCCATCAACGAACCAGCAGCAAAGGACGACAGTATGAGCAACTCATCACATCCAAACTGTGACATCCTCCTGCCAACTGAGTACCCTCCTTGAATAAACTGTATATACATGGTTTCACCAAAACACATGAAAATCATCTGTGCTGTGGGGTAAAAGCGCCATTCAGTGCTAAATATCAAAACATGGATCCTAATTTTTGTACAGATCTGACTGTTTTTAATGTAAAATTGAGACACATCAGTGTTATTTAAATGAATCATGCAAGCATAAAAGTCTCTCTGAACTGAATGACAGCATGTCTCAGTGCCAAAAATTTAAATTTATTACCTGTCAGTTCATTATCTGTGTTATTACATGTTTGCCACGCTGCTCTATGCTTTACCATGATTATGTCACAAAAAAGATTTTTTCACGGTAAAACACTGTGAACTAGCTGACTACCTACAAAGAGCCAAATAAAGTCTTTAAGTCACATTTTCAGCAGTGAACATTCTCACCTCTGCTTGCTCTACGGTTTGGTTCACTTGTTCCTTTTTGCTCTTCTTGTTCTTTTTCCGTTTTTTATCATCTGCTGTGTTTGTTAGCTGAGACATGTGAGCAGGAGCCTCCTGCTTTAAAAACAAAGTGTTAATGATACTGTGACTGATTTCAGGTAGTGCTGTAAAATACCATTCTCTGTGCTACTCACATCTGCATCCATCTTTTTCCTCTTCGTATTTACTTCAGTGTCCATTATTTCTGTACGGTCATCAGATGGACCCAGATCCTTCCTTTTAAGAGGTTTTGATTTCAACGATTTGTCCTTGGCCATGAGATAAATTACTCCTGCAAACCAACACAAGCGTGTATATTACTGAAGACCAGCACACACGTTTACTGAATGAAGTACACGGACAGACAAGGTTTAAGGTCAAAAGAAACACATTATCCACTTTATGACATAACAACAAGCAGCAGGTATATGGGCTAAACACTACTTTGACCACGTTGTTTTTACTAAAAACCTTAAACCAACCTGAGCTGCGTTGCGTGCCAAACTCTGGAAAGCACACAGGCGCGTGGAAAGTCAACCAGGAAGCGGTGCCGCTCAAGTGAAGCCTGATTGGACGATTGGCTACCCGTGTTTTGTGATTGGTCGGTGGGTGTAACATGTTTAAAAACTCGAAGAACAAACTACTGAAAGAAATCTCAAAATATTAAATGAAGTGGGAACCTGGAGACTATTTAAAATCAATAAATAATAAATAAATACATAAACACAAACCATAATAAAACAAACAAAAAACAATTCACTAATAAAAAAGAAAGAATATTATAAATAAGACAATACGCTGTAGCTCAAAAGTACTTAAAATGCTCAAAAATAAAATAAAATGCAGACTGGTGGTACGGTGTAAAATCGAAGTAATTATACTTTCAAGCCTAAATGTGCCATTATCTTTAGATATAGTCATACTACTGCTAATAATAATAATAGAATAATAAATTATTCTATGGGTTAGAGACAGCCGGTCATAACCAGCGTCTCTCGCTGTTTCTGGCCGGAGAGAATTGAAGGTTGCACAATGGTGTGTTACATGACCTGACTGAAAAGGTTTTGCTGGGCAAACCTTCAGTTTCGTAGTGTTGAGTAAGATGACCGGTTGTCCATCATGTCTATAGCAGCAGTCTTTGCCCGTCTGACACGAGTGGCTTTGAGTCGAGGAACATTTATTCATAGCGGTGCAGCGACCGTGAGGTGAGTGTCAGTATGTGTTTCCCCGGCTCATGGAAAGCATGTATTCAATGTGTAATGGTGGTTCAATGACAGTGTAGTATCTTTAATTGTTGGTCAGCTTTTCTTAATTTTTCCTAGAAGACACACCTTGGTCCTTTGACGTTAATCTAGTTACTAGGCTTTGGATGGATAGCAGGAGTTTTCCTTTCATGAGGACGTATGACTAACTAAAGTACAGTCACCGTCCGTGTGTTGCCGTTGTGTCAGAGGTTAGATTTATCATTTTCAATAGAGCAGCTTCAGGAATTGTCTCTAGGTGGCATCATCACTGTGTTTTGAGCAACAATTTACAGATGGACACACTCCTCAAGTTTTTTAAAGGCTAATTCAAAGGTAAAATGTTATACATAAACTCATTTTTTGCATTGGAATAATTCAGAAATGTTTTTTTCTACTGCTTTATTTATTTATTATGTAAGGAGCTATCTACCTCCTGAACCTATGATCATCTGTATGGTTGATCTTGAACATCAGTTTCTATAAAACATCTATTGCATATTATGTGCGTCTATGGATATTTGACCTCTGGAAATGTATCATAAATCCAGTGTATAAATGAAAATGATGATCGGATTAATATTTTTAGTGCCCATTAAGGACTATAATCTCCAGCTGTGGATGTTTCAGCTTCTTAAAAACAAAACAGCAGTTTTAAAAAAGTGTTTTCAGTTTCATAAATATATTTCACTTCTAATCTTAAGCAGAAGTCCACAAGTATTAATATCCAAGTAAATATTGTAGTATACTATCTAAGGTGAAGTAGCGTTTAAGTGCACCAAGTGTACTTTCAAACCACTAAGTCTTTCAACCTAAACTAATTTCTTATCTTCTCTGTTTTTCTTGCTGGAAGACTCCACAGTGTGCGGTCTCTAGCTCTGAGCTCTCAGCTGTCGTGCAAGTCCAAACAATCTGCTGATGATGAGGAGGTGAAGAGCGAGCCCATTAAGTTCTCAACCAGCAAAGCCAGCCACAGGAACTGGAGAGTCGACCGCTCAATGGGGAGCCAGTACGAGCGTCCTATGTGGAAAGTTGTGCCCATCAGCCTGCTTGCCACCGCCTTCCTGTTGTGGTGCGCTTTCAGGGATGAGACAGACATTGACGCAGCTTTGGAGAAGCAGCTGCATGAGCATGTACCCAGCGTGCTTTCAAATGAAGAGGATACAACTAAAAAATAAAGGCGCTTATTGGAATATGTGGACATATGTTGTATCAGGTTGTATTTATTGTGAATTGTACTGTGTGGACCTGGAACACAAAGTCAATGCTTTGTGTGGAAATAAGGCTGTCCATTGATACATGAATGTCATAAATATTCCAATAACTACAGGTTATTAGTTCAAACCTGGACTAAGAGGCCTCAGTTAAACTCATTCATCCTGGAGTCTAGTTTAACTGTTTTCATCAGGGTCTGGTTTACTCTACAGCTGTTGCAGGCTTTTCTATTTCACATTTGCAGACTGTATCCAGTTTCAAAATACTGTTCACATTTGGCTTTATTTACTTGTGATGCAGGTTATTACATGATGCTGTACGTCTTAAGTTTAAGAGCTAACATTAATTGGGAAATACTCCTTTTAGCCAGTCATGGCTTACAATGTCAATAAACTTGAACAACAGGCATTTGCCAGTCTGTTCTGAATCACTGTTTCAGAGTGCACATGATCACTTGATGAACATCCAACTTGTTAGATCGAAGTTATAGTGCAAAGAAGCCCTGGCATTGAGCCAATGGGTCTCTTAAATTTGTACTTGTACCCAAGGTTGTCTGCAGTAAACTTGAGTCAGGGTGAGGTAGCAGAAAGTTTATTTACAGCACAATGAGAAATCCTATGACATGCACACACAGGATTAAAAAGATACAGACCCTAAAATACATTTGCAGACCTGAGGAAGGAAGTGAGATATTCTGCTTTAGGAGTTACAGATATCAAGCACTACTCTACAGCAAACAGGACAGCTGAAGGAAGAGTGTGTGAAATGGAAATACAAAAAACATGCCTCAAACTACAAATCACTTAAGGTGGCACACATGCTGGTAAATAGTTCAAGATTTACAAAACAAACCCCAGTCAGTCCCCCACCCACCCCCAACCCAATAAAAAGATAAAAATCCAAAAGCATTTATGCTCTCTCCCCTCTAATTCGCCTGGCCAGCTGAATGTCCTTGGGCATGATGGTGACCCTCTTTGCGTGAATGGCACACAGGTTGGTGTCCTCAAACAGGCCGACCAAGTAGGCCTCGCTGGCTTCCTATAAGAAAGAGAAAAGAAAACATTAAATACTAGAACAAATTAGAACTTGAACTTGTTGTTCATATTTTAAAACAGATGCATTTTCTGACCTGGAGAGCACCAATGGCTGCACTCTGGAAACGAAGATCCGTCTTGAAGTCTTGAGCGATTTCCCTGACCAGACGCTGGAAAGGCAGCTTCCTGATGAGCAGCTCAGTGGACTTCTGGTACCGACGGATCTCACGCAGAGCAACAGTACCGGGCCTATGAAACAAGCCATATTCTGAATTAGTGCCCAGAAACAAAAACATTGTAGCAACTACACAGTTTTAGAAAACAAAAGTAAAGTTAGTTTCCACAGCCAGTGTAACCACTTATGCCTATAACAGCAATACAGAGGTATGATTGTTGTACCTGTATCTGTGGGGTTTCTTCACTCCACCAGTAGATGGCGCGCTTTTCCTGGCTGCTTTAGTGGCCAGCTGCTTCCTAGGAGCCTTTCCTCCTGTGGATTTACGAGCGGTCTGCTTTGTACGAGCCATTTCTCACCTGCAAGTCTGAAAAACAAATAAACGTGGATATTTAAACAAAGTGAATTAAAAAAACTTAACAAATACCCGTTATTTACGTTATAAATCACCGAACGAGAGTCTGTTCCCTTTATGCGGCTCTACCTATGACACATGACTCACGTCGTTTAAAAAAAAAAAAAAAGGTGGCGAAACAACCGTCCTACCTTTTACTTCTGTTTACAGTGAAAATAAACTACCATAAAGGGTGCCAACGCCTCATTCATCGGTGGTGTTACCATTATCAGTGACGACAAGTTACAGTTACCACTTTCATGGTTTTATTCAAATATCGTACACAAACCTCTAAGCACCGCCACCATTAAGCTAAAGGAGACACACACGTTTCTTTGCTTGCCTGTCGAGCATTTTTAAAGCTAGCATGGACGGTTGCAAAATGGCGCCAGCTAGTTACCGCGAACATTTACAATACAATTAACCATTTAATGTCACCAAAAACAACTTGGCACTCAGTCGTATAAGTGAACATTAAGATTAGTTTCTAATTATGTAGTCATACCTTAAGAGCAGTCAAATCGGCTAAATTTAAGCCATCAGCTAGCTCTTAGCTACAAAGCGCGCCGTTTTGTTGTCAGTTTTTCGATTAACGATAGTCCCACCGCTTTTCAAAGCTTCTCATCAACACCAAAATTCAAATAGATAATATATGTAATTCACATACTGATGATTTTAAATAAAACCAATAAACAAACATAACAGCCATACCTCGGATTACTTTCGTTGTTCAGGGAAATTCAATGCCTCCTCCTCGTTAGTCACTTCTCTATGTTGCCCCGAGGGCTGAGGAGGTGGTATTTATAGATTAAGCGGAGCAGCGCTCAAAGCCCTCCCCTGAACGTATCCAATTGGTCCAAACGGAAATCCCTAACGGAATATGATTAGTTCAGGAAAAAGGAGGCTGTCTGCCTCTGCGTGTGAAGTTAGAGCGGATCGTCAGATGTACCTTATTTTAAAAAGAAGCATGTCGTTAGGTTGATTTTAATTATTCACCCACAGCTTTTCTCTCTTACTCCACACAGTTATACATATAATTTTGTCTGTGTAATCATAGAACCTGGGAATTCCTTTCTGGAAATATGGTGGTCACTGAACGCCCCCGTCTTTTAACTAACTAAGACAAGCGGGAACAATGCTGCCATACTTTTGTTATAGCCTGCACTATGTGAAAAGGCAAATGAAGTACACAGAAGACGTGCTGAAAAAGCACATGTGTACCTCACAAATCGACATACACGCTCCATACATAAACCTCTTTATATATAAATGGGAAGCTTTAGTGTGATACATAATTCTGGAGCTGACAGAAACTCGTCCAACAGACCATTTCCTCCAACTCTTTGTGCCTGCTGTGAAAAAAAAACGGAGAAGCGGGAGCGGACCAAGTTATCCTCATCACCATCATAAACGAAAAAGGCTCGGTTATTTGTATTTGAAATAATCTAATAATGACGCACTCGAATAAAGCCCTATCAGCACAGTGATATGATTGTACACTATTTATTTACTTATTTAATTATATATATATAAAATAAGCCTTTTTGTTATCTCAGGTAAAAGTGGTTTTAAAAGCTTACATAAATAGACAGTGGTCTTATTTTAAGGATTTTTCCATGAAAATGTAAAATAAAATAAAATAAAATAAAATAAATAGACAAATAAGCGCGAGAGCACAGAACATGCGCGGAACGAAGCGGGCGTTGAGGAAGTGTAAGTACACGGACCTCTTCTCGAGTAACACCGGTGGTAAGTGTCTGGTTTGGGGACTGGACATGTTTTTAAAGAGACCGAAGAGCTAAAGAAATTTAAAAAATGTTTACAAACGTATGCGGGGTTCACTGAATATGTTTGCATCGAGTTTAAAAAAAAAAACGGAAAATCGCGTTTCGACCTAAAAACTACAGCTCTGAAGACTCAGCATGGCCGACCAGAGGCTGTTGTACTTCGGTATATTATAACGATATAACACACATGCATGTGTTCGACCTGTTATTACTGGACTGAACGTGGGTTTTAAATCTTTTAAGTGAACTCATAAAAGCAACTGAAACGCACATGAGGGTTTTATGTCGGTGTTATCATTTCTCACAGTTAAAGTGTTGCTCTCAAAAGTGAGATAAACTAATGTTTTTGTGTCCTTTGTTTTCATTCAACAGATATCAAAGCTGAATCGAACAGCTCCACACCTGCTGCAGCCGAGGAGCCCCTCTGGTCTCGCAGCAATAACGTCTTCAGGTTTAACTTCTTCCCTGACAGTTCTCCAGCAGCTTCAGAGAAAGCACCTGCATCGGACAGGACTGAGCCAACAAGCCAGATTTCCTTCACTGAACAGGGCTCTGCTTTTGCCTTCAACTTTCAAATCCCTCCTGCAGAAGACATGGACACAACAGACACTCCAAATACTCAAGGTGACCGACAGTGCGTCCCAGAGGAGAAGCCTCCCCTTTCGCAGGAGGTTGAGTCTCCACCTGAACAATCTGAGCAATCAAAAACAAAGAAGAAGAAAAAGAAGTCAGGGAAGAAAAACTCCTCGAGTATTGAGCCACTGCAGAAGCCAGCTGAGGAGAGTGAAGGTGCTGCAGAGGAGCTGGTCAGTGTGCAGTGCTTTAAAGTAATTACAGTGTGTTTGAGGTGAGCAGTTTGATTGGTTGATTTTATGTCTGAATGTGTTTTAGGGTCAAGAAGAGCAGCTGAAAAGGGAGCTGGACTGGTGCATCGAGCAGCTGGAGCTGGGCCTGAAGTGTCAGAAGGGCACACCGAAGCAGAGTTAGTGAGATTTGTACCTCAGTAGTACTATGATGTGGTTGGAAGGGACATACAGTGAATCCAAGTGTGAACGTAGCCTAGATTAAACTGATATTCAGGATTCTTTAATGTTTAATCTATGATCTAAACAAGATCATACAAAAAAGTAAACTTCTAAGCATGGTGTCACCTATTGAATATGTTCTCCCTTCAGAGGACGAGGCCTCGCGTGCCCTAAAGACTCTGCGCAGCTCCAAAGCTCCTCTGCCCAAGAAGAGGCAGGTGATGAGAGCTGTAACTGGAGATTACAGAAAGAAGATGGAAGAGGAGAAGACCAAGCAATTCAAACTAATTCAGAGCGGTGAGTGAATTTTGTACCAGCGAATTCATTAAAATGGTTAAAAACTGCCACCGGCTAATGGGTTTCTCCGTGCCCCGACAGAAATCGCATCAGCCCAGGTCAAACTTGTGTCAGAGTCCCCAAAGAAGTCTGTTTTCCACCGGAGAGCTGAAGACAAAACTCAGACATCACTCGCTGAGGAGAAGCTGCGGCGCACTGAAGCTCACTGTGCAGAGCTGACGCCGCAGACTCAAGAGGCGACGCCGGTTTTTGTTCTTATCCCATCGAAGGAGGAGTTTCACTTCAATTTTCTCTGACTTGTCTGTCCTGATGCCAAATCCTTCACAATGCAGCATGCTGGAGATAAAGTGCTACGTAGGCTGGCAGAACGGCACCGTCAGATATCTGTGGACAACATTCTGGTGAACGCTGAAGATATGAGGAGAGAAGACGTCAAAATCTCTGTGTTTACAGACAAAACCTTTAACTAATACATTTTTACAAAGCGTGATGCATTCACTGAATTAATGTGATTGCTCAAATCTCAAGGGAAACGTATTCAAGTCCATTCAGGCTGACAGCATGGCGCCTCGAACCATGTTACCATAAATACTGGATTGCTGTCGATTACACCTGAGGTGCCAAAATATCTTGTATATTTAGAAAAACAGACAAATATGTTTTTGTTGGACTTCTAAGATAATAATCATGTTAATTCAGAAAAAATGGTTCAAAGCATTTGAGGTTTTTTGTTTTATATTGCTATATTGCTAAATAAATAAAAAAATTGGTATTTTTGCTTGTAGTGGCTTCATTAAATGCAATGATAAAATGAAATAAACATTTCTAAGTAAAATTGTACAGTTTACAGTTAATAATCCAAATCGATAAATAGATTTTTTCTTCTTCACTAAGGCTAACATATATCTAACATATATTCCACAAAGACTTTATACATTCATGTGAAAAACAAAATGCACCTCATGATTCAGTAACTTGTAGAACCACTTTTAGGTGCAACAACTTGAGCATTAATTGTTTCTTGGGATTAATGTCCTCTCCTGGGGAAGATTATAGCATTATTGCTACAGCAAACTGAAAACCTTCCTTTTCATGTGACTGTATGTACCGCTTTTTATTAAAATGGAAACTAGTTGAGTTAGCTCTGATTTAATCAAGGATATTGTGAAAGTTTAGTCACTAATCTCACTTTATGTTCAATCTTCACTTTATACAAATATTAAAATGTCATTGTTAATGACTGAGTTAAGGTTGATTCTTAAATTGTCCCTTTTTGTGACGTTTTTACAAAGCTACACTCACAAACACAGTTGAACTGTCTCTAAAATACAATACAATTTAAAAAAAAAAATTACGATGAATGAAAATGTACACACAAATAAAACAGACAATAACACTGGATGTGTTGTAAGTGGTTCATAGACTTTTAAATTCAGCCTGTGTGTGTATAACAGAGAAGTTGACCTTGAGAGCAAACATGAATCAAGAGTTTGTGTAAAGAACATACATTCCTGTGTTTATTTCCCGTTTAAGGAAGCGTGATTCCTCATATTTTCCCTTTAAAGTGTCTCTCAGACAGGATAGGGTGATGCAAGGCTCAGCGCGGACACATTAGAGTGTGACACACATTTAGAAAAGTTTCGGCTGCTGAGAGAACAAACTACCTGCTGACTGTAAGTTTGAACTCGTTATGTTTTTCTGCACTCTGAAATACTCTTTTGCTTCTGTTTTCTTCTGTGCATTTAATTAGTTTAGCTCACTGTGTTGGTTTTATTATTGAGACCAAAAGTTTAGACGCTCACCTCGCTAAGCTAAATTAGCCAGAGGAGTGAGCCCTGTGAAATTACCGTTAGCTTTAAAGTAGCCGCTATTCGTGAGCTTGTATAAGTCAGCATTGTTTATATTTTCCATCATCTGAAGCTACAGCATTTAGGGCTGCTTGCAGGCTCGTAAGCCCCTGGTTTTAAAGTGTGAAACCAGGGCGTTGCGGTTTGTTTAGAGCAGTTTATGGTGTCTCTGTTTCCCAGGAGAAAAGAGTGAAGATGTCCGAGTTAAGCGATGACGCCAGTGAGTCAGAACAGCTGGGTGCCAGCCTCTCCCTGTGGCTGGGTGACTCCCTGCTGCGAGCTGAGGAGCTGGATGTCCCTCTGGACCTTCACACCGCCTGCTCCATCGGCCAGTACGACGTGGTGGCTGAGTGCATTAAAAAGTGAGGGCCTCTTAATACCAATATTTCCACACGGGCTAATATATTCCACAGCTTATTCACATAACTGTGTGTGCTTTCAGGCGTGAAGTGGACCTGGATGGCAAGAACATTGGAGGATGGACCCCACTTATGTATGCGTCCTACATTGGTCACGACAACATTGCAAATTTGCTGCTGGAGGCCCGTGTGAATGTAAATTCCACCACCGCCAAAGGACTCACACCCCTCATGTTGGCCGCAAGCTGTGGGAATGAAAGTATCGCATACTTTCTGCTTCAGGTACAGAATCACCCTGAATGGGGGGTGGGGGGGTGGTAAGGAGACAAAACAATGGCACAGAGATTTGTGATGATGAAACATCAGAATGACAAAAAGAGTTTGAAAAGAGACAGAGGGCCACAGGGGGTTATGTGTTCTCACAGCCTACCCACGTGTAACCTTTGTCTTAGAGGTTAAACTAACATACAGCAGCTTCTTTTTGCCACTGTGGATTTCCAGTGCATTTGGATCTTTATATTATATTATAATATAAAGATCCAAAGGCTTAAGACCTCTACAAATCAAGCACGTTGCAAAAAAACGACATGAAATTAAGAATTCAAATTCCGAATGTTGCCAAGTGAGGTGGTCTGATTGGTCAGATGTGTTAATTTGCAAATTTGCCCAGTGAAACTACAGTTTGTGTGAACGACTGCATTACGAAAAGATGAAAATATTTTTAAAGGACTAATTTTACACTGCCAGTGTGTAAAAGCTCTTTATTTTTACCCCTCAGCCATAAAAGGATGACAGGGCGTTGTCTTGGATGAGTTTGAATCTCAGTGACCTCAACCTCAAGGTCAAGGGTTAGAGGTCGAATTTTCTTGTGAATGCAATAACTCAAGGATGTCACTTGAAGCAGGAGGCTGAGGGGTAGCAATGTCAATGTTTTTTCTGTATGATATTGAAAATAACTGCCTGTGTTTTGAAGACGTGTTTTAAAAATCGGCTCTAAAACGAACCACACCTATCATCAATACTGCTCGTGTGTAATTTTGCCCGGTTTAGTAAATCTGGCCTTGGGTTTAGATTCAGCACTCTTTTTGAGCTTTAAATTTTATTGTGAACATTCAGCATTTTTTTTTCTTTTCTTCTTCTTTTTTTTCCATTTTAAAACCCAAAAAGCAAGGGGCCGATTTGGAGTTGAAGGACTCTGTAGGCTGGACCGCTCTGTTCCACTGCACAAGCACAGGCCACCAACAGATGGTCAAGTTCCTGCTAGATAACAATGCTGACGCCAATGTCAAGTGAGTGTCTTTATTTGCTCTAAAAAGACCATCAAAAAAAAAAATAACGATCTGTTCACACTTTTGAGATTTTCATGACTCTTCCCTCATACACAGGGAGCCAGGTTCTGGCTTCACGCCACTGATGGAGGCTGCTGCTTCTGGGCATGAAATCATTGTTCAGTACTTACTTGATCATGTGAGTAGGTTACTGTGCTGGAACATACTCGTGTGTGAGTGCAAGTGGTTATGAGCCAGACCATGTCATTCTCCTTTTTTTTTTTGCCACATCTACATCTCCTGTACCTCTTCAACATCTAAAAAGATGGAGCCACATCACTGGAAAATGTAACTGACATGACTCGCACACTCACAATTTGGTAATCCTTTGAATTTTCAGAAAGTTAAAGTGGATGAACGCAACGCCAAAGGTGAGACAGCGCGTGCTCTGGCTATGATGTACGGCTATACCAAAATTGTCAGCCTCATTGACTCACGTTCTCCAAGAATGAAACCAGGTACTTGTTTAAATCTAAAATTTCTGTCTTTACTACGTCTTTCATTGTCTTTTAATTTCTAATGTTTTTTGGGGATATTTTTTTTTGGGTGGGGGGGGGGTTGGTACGTGTGTTCTGATTTGTCAGGACACTTTGAAGATCTGAGCTCCTCCGAGGACTCGGACAGCGCACCACCGAGGATACGGTCCAGCCGAAACCGAGCTAAAGGCATCAGCATCCACGATGGGCCTCAGGCCATCGCCAAGTTTCGAGTAGGAGGCACCAGCAAACTGTGTGGTACAGTGTCATGTAAAACATCCGGTCTTCAACCCGTATCTGTGCTGAGCCACACTTTAAACACCACATTTGTTCTAGTTATGAAGTTAAATTGCATTTAAAAAAAAAAAAAAAAAGCTGTTTCTAAGGGTTCCCACAGGTCCTTAGAAAGTCTAAAATTAAAGTATAAGAAATAAAGGTCTTAAAGTGCCTTACATTTCAGGTAAATCTGCTCTAGGTGGTTATTTTTAAGATTGGTAGAAAAAAATTAGATTCATTTTTATTACGTTTTTAAAAATTGCTGTGCTTTAATGTGATTTGTTTTGAGTTACAATCTCTTTATTATCACAGGTATTTACGCATACACATTTAAAATTGTAGCTACATGAATTCACCACTAGGGGTCACTTGCACTTACAGCAGATACAATGTAGATGTTTTACATTCAACTTTTCAAAATTGGTCTTTTAGGTCATTATATTTCATCTGACTCTTATTATGTTTATTACATTGGTAAACAAAAAAAACAGTGACAGCAGGTGTGACATCCTTCCAAAGTAATGAGGGCAAGCTTTAAGTGATCATGTGTTCCTGCATTACTGTGCTCAGCAAAATGCTTGCTGAAACCAAAAAGGTTAAAAATTAAAATTATAAATGTGAGGGTGGAAAGCATTTTTTCCCTGTAAAGTAGAGCACATTATTCATGCTTCCGTTTATAATAATAGCTGTGTGTCGTTAATGTCACATTTGCCCTCACAGATCCTCCTGCCGCCCTGCCAGGGTACATGATGTTTCGTGGCATTGGGGAACAGAGCGAGGGTCTCTGCTACCGTGATGTGACTTCGCCTATCAATGAACTGGATGGCCAGAGCAACAGCAGCAGAGGTGTGTCTGTGTGGGTGATTTAAAAAAAACAAAAAACAAACCCAAAAATAACCTCTGAGACTCTGATTTTTTACAAACCTGATGGGAGTTAGTTAAATCAACTCTGGATGCATGTGTGTGGGGGTCTGAGTCACCATGGCAACCGGTAAATACGGAGAAGAGCGTCTAGTTGACTGTGAAATATGAATGTGTGTCAAAGCAAACTTTCTTTAAAAAAACAAAACCAAAAAAAAAAACCAGAAGAAGAAAAAGTAATTTCAGCAGCGTCCACACAGTCATTATGTATCCAACTTAATTTCAAATAATACAGGAATTCTACCAGAAATGTGAACTTGTGTTTTAGGTCGTTTATTTTTTTTTTCAGCTGTCACCTGAAAAAATACAACAAAAACTGTGTGGTTTGATACATCTGTATGAATAAGGAATATAATTGGAGCGTCAGACAGCTGTTTCAGATGCAGCAGGAGGGGGGAGGTCTGAGAGAACTTCTGTGTTTGTTGGAGAAAACTTACCAGTTTTCTCCCAAAAAATACGAAACTTGAGTGCAAACTTTGTTTGTGTTTTTCTCAACATGACTGAAGATGACAGTCCATTCTTTGACCATGACATGCCCACCATGAGGAGCAGCAGCAGCAGCAGCGAAGGCCTGCCTCATGTGATCGGCCTCAACTGGGAAGGCTCTGTTGAGAGTAACGAGGTGAACAGAAGAGCCTGCAGTTTGGACGCAAACTGTGTTCGTCAGTGTCTCGTGATAAATAGTTGCATCTTTCTCCATCAGGACTCTGACCAGTGTAAAAAGAGCAGCATTCGCAGAGTAAATAAGGGTCATCACTCAAAAGGCAAGACTCGCCACGGGAACAGCGATGGAGCTCACTCCAGCAGGACATCAAACTGTGGCGCTGGTCTTCCGCCTTCCTACACTGGCCCAAAGGCATGTTTGTGTTTGTTCAGGTTTCAGTACGTTTATTCAGATTTCCTTGAGTTCCTGGCAAGGACTAAAATCTCATCTTCATGTAGGATCTGGCAGAGTTCTTGGAGCAAATCGGCTTCTCGAAGTATCTTCCGTTACTTGAAGAGCAAGACATAGACCTGCGGATCTTTCTCACCCTGACAGAAAATGATCTCAAAGAAATAGGGATTACGTAAGATGCCGCTTCTTCCTCTTTGTGCTGTTCCCTATAGGGGTTGCCATAGCGGACCATCTGCCTCTGTCTCACCCTATCCCTAACATCATCTTCTGCCTTCTGTTTATTTTTTCCTCCTGCCTGGCAGCTTCGTCGTTTGCATCCTTTGTCAGTATATCCACTCAGGCTCCTCTGCTCATGTCCAAACCATATCAGCCTTTGTGTCCAAAACTCTCACTCTGACCTTTTCCTTTGATGTACTCTCTAATCCTGACCCTCACTCCCAATCATAATCTTAGCATCTTCAGCTCGGCCTCTTGTCTTATTGTCACCGTCTCCAAACCATACATCATAACACGTCTCAGTACCATCTTGTAAACCTTCCCTCATTTCAGATGATCCATGTTTGTGGTCTCATGTTTTGAAACTCTGTTCTGTCCTCCAGTCTGTTTGGACCCAAACGCAAAATGACTTCAGCCATTGCAAGGTGGCACAGCAACGCTCGACCACCCAGCGATGCTCTGGAACAGGCTTACGCCGACCAGCTCGAGGCTGAGATGCAAGAGATGGCCATTCAGCTACACAAGGTAAACATGAAACACTGCAAGTGTGAGATTTGTGACTTGGGTTGTTCTCACCTTGCTGAAAAGCTTTTGCATATGTTTTTCTCACCTTCGCAGCGCTGTGAGGAGGTTGAGAGCCTGCAGAGCCAGGTGTCTCAGGAGAAGGAGCTGCGCACAGTAATGGAGGGATGTCTAATGGAGGACAAAATGGCATGGAAGAAGGTCCATGCTGAGTTGGTGGAGAACCACAGGCTGGCTCAAAATATGAGTGCCATGCTGGGGAAGGAAAGGGCATGCCGCGGTGAACTGATCTCCTGTTTGACCACAGATGGGATCAGCAGCTCTGCCACTGCTGGGGAAGGAACAGGTGTTAAAGGTGAGTTGAGGTGGACTGTGCTAATTTTTGGGTTTACAAACGGTGACTTTTTTAATTTCTTTTTTGTAGCTGGGGAGGGAGCGACGTGTTCCAGTATTCAAGAGCTGATGAAGAAGATGGATTTGTATGAAGAAGAACTGGGTAAGAAGGTTTAATACTCAGTGATTTTAAGAGGTTTAGTGCAGTGACTCAAGTATAATGGCGTTGCCCGCGTGTTACATCATTACAGCTGGAAGTCTGCAAACGCTGCTTCAGAATCTGAGGCGACTGAGTGCCCCAGAAAAAGTCTCAGATAGCTGGGAACGACCCTAAGCTTTTCAGGTGACACAAGCTCGCATGCACAGAAGATTTGAGGAGCTTTTTAGCATCTGAAATAGCTGAACATAATTTGCTATTGTCATATTTTTAAAGGACCTTTTTGGAGCACTTGACGGAGGGTGATTCGCCACCCTGAACAATGTCACTGAAATGGGAGAAGGCCAAATACGAGGCCAGCCACGCCAGGGCCAGAGCGGCTCGGGGGAGCGAAGCCTCTCTGCGGATCATCTGGGATTGGCTGATGGGCCAGAGCTCGCCAGATGTGGACGAGGCTAACAAGGGTGGCGCAGCTGCTGCAGGAAAATGACAAGCAGGCACAAGGGTACCTGACCCTGACTTGCCTGTGCTGGTGTTTGTGGACTGCTGTAGATGGGCTGTGAAAATGCGGTGATGGAGGGGACAGAGGTGATGGAGGAAATCGTGGATCAGGGGTTGTAATACTGTGATATTTCTACGCAACTGTACTCAAAAGTATGAAATGTGGTTGAAGTGATGTTTATACCACCAGATGGAGAGTTAGATTATAAAAGCAGGTTAGTAGTCAAACTTAAAATGAGCTCTGCAGTTTATTTGAATGAAATCTTGTCATTTGTTATGTTTTTGAAAATAATGTCCTGCCGAATGCCTTTTAAAGAACAGAGAAGATATTAAAGTGGGTCTATTATGCACATTTCAAACTGCATATTTTGGTTATGCAGGAGTTGGAATAATTTTTGTATATACTGGACCGCTTTAGCCTATACTTTTGAGGACACCATCCAAGGTTTAAACATGAGGCGTGAGGCTGCTGTACTCACACGCAGGTCTTTGTATCAACAGAAAGACCCAAGACTGAAAGATGTGAGCACCCCCTGTGGTAATAGTATGATAGCACACACAAGGAAAAGCATTATAGGTCCTTCAGTGTTACAGCGACGCATTATTACTCTGCATATGTAGACACTGAGCTACGGAGACTGATAAATCCCCAAAACTAAAAAGAATTTCTGTATTTGAATATCAGTTAAAACCTGCCTACCTGTACAGATATTTTAGGATGTAATCATAAACCAAACTTGAAGGACTTTGTCCACAGCAGTTTTAATTATGTGATAAATTATTTGGCAAAAAAAAAAAGTAAATTTGGAGTAAAGGTGCCCAAATTTAATTTTTATTTCATTCTAACACTCTTATTGGGATTTGCGGTGCTCGTTGGGAGTTTGTGTTCTGGGATGTATGCAAAGGTCTTCAGAGTCTTCCTCTTAAACCCTGAATCACTCTCGTCACTTCTGTATTTGATGTATGACTCACACACTCCAGGCTTTCTTACACTATAAAGTGCCTTGAGATGATTTATAAGTATAAGATTTGGTGCTAAAATGACATTTATGTGGTGGTTAAAACGAGTCTATTTGTGTGGTCAATATTTAATCTGTCAACACTACAGGGCGCTTCTGCACAGGCTGCGCCTCGGGGTCAGGGAATACCCGTCTGATTATCAAATGTCTCATCTGAAAATCCACTACTGTGCCTGAGGCCTTGGCGCTAGTTCAGGAATAGTGACACTTACTGCTTAGCTGCAATTCTGGCACATTGTGGATGTTGGCCGATTTTTAGCCTGCAGGTTTTTCAATAAGCACAGCCTTCACACATCACTGCTCTCCTCTCACAGCAGGACAGCTCCTGTTACTTCAGATGGAAAAATGTGACATAAGCAAACTTTAAACACCTGGCTAAAGTCCCAGTCTTAATTTTTTTTTTTTTTTTTGGCAGAACTGCCAGTCGAGTATCTACGTCACTATTAAAATGTGCATCTTAGCTGAGGTAAAACTATACTTTAAGTGTAGAAAAAGATGACGTTCAGGTATGTCTATGTCTGATCTGAAATTATGTAGTATTCCCTGTTTAAACACTAATGTGTGAGGCTCCCTACATCACTAGTTTGTTTATTAAATGTACAGTAGACAAGATCAGTGAGCGGAGGACTATCATCTATAACACCTGAAGTCACAGGGGTGTCCAAAATGATGTACAGTTACTTAGGACTGGGCTGATAAAAATCTCTGAGATGTACATGAGCAAACAGCTGCCTTCGGGCTAAACCTTTAAAACTGACCCAAGAAAAAGCAGTTTTGTTGAGGTTCATCAGTGCAGAAGCAGTTTCTCTGCTGGCTCCAACTCTGATCCGTTTTCAATCTCACCAAATGTGAGGCACAAACGACATCATGCACTCCAGCGCACTGTGTGTTTAGCTGCTGGACTAGCGACTAGACATGCTGGCAGGCAGCCAGTTGGGATTTCTGGCCCCATGGGAGTAATGTGTGGTCAGGTTACCTCGAATGTGAGCTTATTCAGGCCGACTCGTTGAGATTGGATGTTCTATATAATGAGCACTTCAGAATCAACGTGTCAATTTAGTATTTATTGCTTTAACATACTGCTAGAACAGAGAGGTTTCCTCTCCAGTATAAATTAATGCACCAATATCTACAGTACTTCAAAATAAACATTATGTACAAAGAGGAAGAAGAGCAAACAATTCTTCCTGTGCAGTATTTGGGGTTAAAAACTGTAAAAAGCAGCATCCATGTATGTAAACTTCTGCTCATACAAACAGAATCAAACGTCATTTGCGAACACGTGATTGTATTTGTTCTTGCGTAGCCGTCCAGGAGACACATGTAAACCTCTGATTCTTTCTGGTCTAAGCTCACTTCAAAGCCGTCCTCCTTTTTCCTGGTGAGCAAACACTCCAGGTCCACGTAGAAGGATAAAGACATCTTGTCTGGCTGTTTGTGTGTGTGTTTTCCCGCACTCCCACAGAGGACCAGCTGTGTTAACAGTAGTTGTGAGCAGCTCAGGTGTACTCGCACAGGTGACCGCAGCCGGCAGGGCAGTGAGCGCTGCTTTTGAGCCAGTTCATCATGTGCTCCAGATGTCCACCGTGGCTGCAGCCCTGACACCACACGAACAGTCCCTTCACCACATGGTGACACACGGCGCATACACTGGCACACTGGTGGCACCTGAAGGAGAGACACACGGCAGCTGTCAGAGCTCATTCCTGTCAGTCCGTGAGAAACCAACACTCACGCAGCACATACAAGCTGCAACTCTGGAACCCACCCAGTATACTCACTGGTCCATACTGCCCTATCACTTATAGGTGTTTGGGTTTTTTAGTGGTCTTTATTAAATCAGAATGATGATGATAATAACAGACTTAGGCCAAGCAGGTATTCTTCCTAACCAAAGGAGAAAAAAGAAGCAGTTTTGTTGCTTTAAGACAAGTTTGTAAAACCTTTATTTATACAGATAATATCACTGAAACTCAATGTCTCATTTAAAAGAAAGCCCTGTTCCAGACAAGCATAAGAAAATTACAATTTAAAATAATGAAAATGGTGTTCTTGTTTTTAATATAAATAATAACTTCCAAATTCAGAGGAGCTTGTAGACAAAGGCTTGATATTTACTCCCATTTCCACCTTAACCATTTGATCCCCCAAATATCATACAGGCTGCCTGGACTTATTTTGTAATCTGTAAAATTACAAAATAATTCATCTTTCATGAACCATTCAAATTTTCTCACAATTTGCTCTGCACACAGGGCAAAATCTAGGTGGATTTTTCTGTCTGTGTTCAGACAGTGATACATGGTGAATGTTTTATGTTACCACGATGCACCGAATACCCTGTAAATATCGTCTTTCTAAAACCATTTTCATTTTAATAAACGGTAAGGGAATTATGGTCACTTTAAGACTTCTCCAGGTTGGACACCCCCCGAACACTTATCTGGAAGCGTCCAGGAAGCATCCTTATTAGGTGCTCGAACTTTAAGTCACTCCTTTCAGTGTGGAGGAGTATCAGCTCAACATCCCCTTCTGACCCCACCTTTAAGGATCAAGCTCAGCCACCCTTTGGAGAAAACTGATTTACATCGCTTCTGTCCCCAATGTCATTCTTTCAGTCACCACGCTGAGCTTGTAGCCACAGGTTAAAGTAGCAACAGAGATCTAAAGCTTCACTCTTCACCACAACTGATGCAGCAGATGCGGCACTACACTTGGAAGTCACTGCACCACTCTCCCCTCACTCATGAACAAGACACTGAGGTATTTAAACCGAGGCCTTAGACTTTGAAGCGCTAATTCTTATTCACACTAGGGCTGCCACGATGAGTCGACTAGTCACGATTACGTCGACTATCAAAATCGTCGACGACTAATTTAATAGTCGACGTGTCGTTTGAAGCTTTGTAAGATCCCAAAAGACGCAGGAATAAGTAGTAGGATTTAAGAGTGTAATAACGGACTGAAACAGAAGATGGCAGCACTGCATGTACAAGGATGCCAGCTGCCGTTAAACCCCGAAGAAGAAGAAGCTGTGTCCCAGAATTCATAGCGCAGCCCAGCTCAGTTTCCAACAATGGCGGCAGCTAGTTAGTTTTAATATTACTCTTATTATTCTTTCTGGGTCACAAAATAAACGTTTAACATATTTTCAGGCGAGAATGTAGCTGTGTAAACCTCAAATATCTGCTCAGTTTATCAGGACACCACATATTTTCAAAAGCGCTCCGACGTTTTCAGAGACGTCTGTTACCCACTAGCTCGATAGCTAGCCGGGGGCTAGGCTCACTAGCGCCATGAGAACACCGGACTCCCGGCAAATTGTTTTCAAACCCACCGCCGTCTTTCGCTACTCAGGTTAAATATATATGAGTCACTTAGATAACTTAACAATGTTATTGTTTGGCTTTTTTTTTTGTATTTTATTTGTTCCTGAGTAAATCGGTTTGGCTGAGATTAAAGTTATAGTTTTTACACAGCTGAATAAACGTCAAGCAGACAGCTGATTATCAGAAGTGTGAGATGCTCCAGAATTTACTCCGGTGTCCTGTTATATTTTAGATAGCAAGGAGTTTATTAAACTTCACCGAAACAATCTGCAAATTTCATTAAAATTGAATAAACTATCATCTTGTCTTTATTTTTAGTTAGCACCTTAAAAGCTTAAAGCTGTAAGCTAATGATAGTTATATAAGAGCAGATGCTGCTGGTGCAATAAGCTGTACTTTTACATCCAATGGATGATGATCTGATTAGTCGACTAATCGCAAAAATAATCGGTGACTAGTCGACTATCCAAATAATCGTTTGTGGCAGCCCTAATTCACACCGTTTCACATTTTTCTGCAAAGAGAGCTGGAGGTCATCGTCTGATAAAACCAGAAGAACCACATCATCTGCAAAAAGCAGAGATGGAGGCACCAAAGTGGACAGCAACTAAAAATTCTATTGATGAACTGAATCGGTAACCAGCCAGAGTCCAGTGCTCACTGGGAACAGGTCCAATTAATCCTGACCATACGAACCCAAAACACCATCCCAGAACTATTTCAGCACATACACCTTAATGAAACGGTGCCACAGTGTTCATACCTGTCACAAATCCAGCCCTTGTTGCTCATTGGTCGCTTGCAGTTGCTGCAGTTGATGTGAAGTGTAGTTGATGTCTGGTTCAGGCAAGTGATGGCGCTGCACGTGCTCAGTTTGATGACCTCATTGGACACGTTCCACAACTCGAATCGCTGCAGCAGGTCTATGTAGGACATGTACCAGTGCTCCTGAAACGGAAAAATAAAAGTAACTGCTCAGACTGAAATCCGTGCTGTCACTGTATCGCTAACCTTGGATGTTTTTTAAGCTACAAATACAATTTAAAGTCATATAAAAGGCCTAAATTTCACTTGTTTCTAACATTTAACAAAACAGAGTTGTTGTTTTTTGTTTCACTAACTGACCTGGGTGAGGTCATCGATCTCTTTGCGAATCCGATCCCCCAGAACAATAAGCACCGACACGGCCATCTGCACATCGCCCTGCTCAGCGTAGTAACTCAGCATCTCCCGCACAATGGGGCAGAAGAAGCTGGCGGGCAGATGTGGACTGAAGAGCGGCTGGGAGATGGAGATGAGAGAGAAAGATTCGATGGGTGTCAAACAGGTGACTTCGGCCTCGTTGCCGCTGACGTGCGGGGAGTCGGCCTTGTCCTGCTGAAGGTGCTCCGGAGCGGATAGGTTATCCACGATCTCGTGGCGCAGCTGGAAGGCCTCCTGGGGCAGCGTGTACTCCTGCTCCTCTGTTGAAACGATAGAGGCGCAGATAAGAGACAAAAGGACGCCGAGCAGGAAGACTGTTATAAATAGCAGGCGCTGACATCGGCAACCCCTTACTGAGCAGGCGACGCTGTGACTGACCTGTTTGGTTGTCGTGCTCCATGGAATAGAGGTCATCGTCATCCAACTCGGCATCGCCGAACATATACTCAGGATGGCCCTCGCTGCCTTCCGTCTCCTCGTTTTCTG